TGTACATATGTCATAATCTGAAGGAAGTTATGGACCATGTCCATCCATCCATTATCCTCTGCTTTTCTGGGGTCAGGTGGCGGGGGCAGCAGCCTAAGTTGAGAGGCGCAGACTCTCTCCATCGCCTTGGGCCAGCTCCTCCGGGGGAATCTCTAGGTGTTCCCTGGCCAGGTGAGAGACATAGTCCCTCCAGCATGTCCCGGGTCGACCTTTAGGCCTCCTCCTGGTTGTACGCGCCCAGAAAAACTCACCAGGGAGGCGTCCAGGGGGCATCCTGACCAGCTGCCCGAGCCACCTCAACTGGCTCCTCTCGACATGGAGGAGCAGCGGGTCTACTCCGAGCCCCTCCGGATGACCAAGCTTCTCACCGTATCTCTAAGAGAGAGCCCAGACACCCTTCGGAGAGAACTCATTTTGGTCGCTTGTATCCACGATCTGGTTCTTTCGGTCACTACCCAAAGCTCGTGACCACAAGTGAGGGTAGGAACGTAGATCGACCGGTAAATCCAGAGCTGCACCTGCATCACTGCAGACGCAGCACCAATCCGCCTATCGGTCTTTCCCTCACTCGTGAACGAGACCATGAGATACCTAATCTCCTCTGCTTGGGTCAGGACCTCATCCCTGTCCCGGAGAAGGCATTCTATCCTTTCCTCTCACTGGGAACAAGCTCGACTTACTGCCTGCAATGCCGACCAAGCTCTGACACCAGTCATACATGGACCTAACAGCCCATATCAGAGGGCTCGGTACCCCAAACCACCCACAGGGTCCCCCAATGCTGACAAACTCCAACCTCTAAGCTCTTGTACCCCTAAGAAGCCACTGCATCTTTTTTGTTTTACTCTATTGGGTAAAGGCTAAATGCTAACGTGAAGCTAACAATGCTAACATTGAATCAGAAACACATGGGCAGCTCTGAAGCTACTTTTTCAATTACCAACAAGTTGTTATTACAGTAGAATGTATTTATCTACTCAACAACTTACGGTGAATGACTCGTCTTCCCTCCTCTTCTAGAATGTTCTGGCGCTGATCCGTAACTGGCAACAGCATGAAACTGTAGGACGGCAGTGAGAAAGTCACTCGTTTTGCCGTGAAAATGGGCCGCAGTAACCAAACTTGACTACAGACAGGGGTGAACTGGCCTATCTGGCATTCTGGCACCGTCCCGGTGGGCCGCTCGCTCAGCTTGGTCCGACACTACTCCACAGTTGGTGATTTGCAGAACATTAGCTACATGGTAACCCAAAGCTAACAGAGTTTTTCCAGGTGCTTTTAGCAAGAAAAACGCTGTAGAGCGATGACGTAGGAGTTGTTTTACCGCGTTAGCATGTAGCTAATGTCCCGCTAATCTCCGCCCGTGGAGAATGAGCAGATCTGGAAGGCCAGGGCTCCCGGTCGCAGCGGTCTGGCCCTGCTTGTAATTTAACAGTACCAGTCCATGTTAGATCTCACATTCGGCCTAGAGACGAGTCTGCGGGCGACAACACCCCCCACCCCCCCACCCCCACCGCTCTCCCAATGGGAAGGGTCGACTGAGGGCCGACGAATCGTAAAAATGCCAGGGCCGAATTTTGGTCCCAGTCCACCCCTGACTACAGAATGTCATTCTTATTTCATTCCTACATATTGCACCTTTAAGAGTGGAATAAAACAAGATGGTCATTTTTAAAGATAGGATTTTTAAAGTTTTTGTACATTTTGTAGACCTATCTCTAACTTTAACAGCTAAAACTACATATTCTAATAATTCAATTTCAAAAGACAAATGAGATTAAAGGATTTACCGCGTCTCTTATTATCTGACAGTTGTTTGCTGGTAATCATGAACAACCCAAACATTTTTACTGAAGCTTCTGTCAGAGTTTCCAACACTTTTTTACTTTGTGTCTCCGTGAAATCGTCCCATTCCTGACGCCCTGGAGCTCAGCCACGTTGCAGCCTACTGTCCTTGGCACGTTCGTCCGTCCCCGGAGACACTTTGTTTCCTAGTTTCCCTCCTTTTTCTTTCTTCTTTTGATGTGTGTCACAGCTGACGTCAGGAGCGGAGGGCAGAGGGCCCTCATGCCGTCACGGTAACCAGTTCTGCGTTTTCTCATCCGGCTGAAATGAGAAACTGGAGCATCGTTACAAGTCTCCGCGTCTCGTCTCTCTTCTTGGAATCCTCGGGATTCCTCGTGTTCCGAAGACACCCGTCGGATCTTCAGACGAGCTCCATTTCCACAGACTAATGAAGTCGTTTATAAAACTCGCAGCAGCAGATAAAAGCATCTGACTGATGAGAATCTGTCGAACGAGACAGGAAACGGGCTCGTGTCAACACTTAAGAGCCCTTCCTGGCTTTAAGTGTTGGAGATTAAAGCTGTTTTCACGCAGCTTCATGAATATTTCACCTCTGGCTCAGGACCTCTTTTCCTCTCTGTCAGCGAGAGTTGAAGTCCTGCTGGTCCGCGATCAAACTCCCAAGGTTAAGTCTAATCAAATCATTGAGAGCCTCTCTGGGCAGAAAATCGTTAATAAGTGTCCTTCTCTAACGCCAAGCCACTCCCGGAGCATCTTGGAGATTTTCTCCTCTGAACTCTAAAAAGCAGCTCGGTGCGTCGGACCGGAGCCGGGGGAACACAGTGGGAGGAGAGGTTTGATTTTGGGAGGACTTTAAGGTCGGAGCAGGGAGTCTCTGCTGCTGGAAGTCTGTTGACTGAACAGTCTGCCTCCTCTTCTATAAAAATCATTCAATGTGGGAAAGTTTTTTAGCCTCAAATGGACACGGAGCCTCGGCTTTAATCTTGGGGCCGCGGCATTAAGGTTACATGAGGATCACAACTGCCACTAATGCAGCTGCTCCCTTTATTAAAACCCTATAAACGCTCCGGGTTTTCAGAACAATGGACTGGAAAGAAGAAGAAGAAAATATCTTTTCTATAGTGCCTCTCAAGATAAAAATCACGAGGCGCTTCACAAAAACAAAAAATGTAAAAATATAAAGAGAATTTCAAAAATGGTTAAAAATATATTTAAAATGAGCAAAAAATAGACAATTGTGATTAAAAAATGTTAAGAAAGAGAGAGAGTGAACAGGAAAGAGGGAAATCAGTGGATCCTGAGGAAGGTGGAATAGGTGGGGAGAGCAGAATAAAGAGAGAGAGGTGAAGAAGGTCATCCAAAAGCCAGCTTGAACAAGTGAGTCTTCAGCTGCTTTTTAAAGGAGACCACTGAGTCCACTGATCTCAGGCTCAGGGGGAGAGAGTTCCAGAGTCTGGGGGCCACAGCAGCAGATGATCTGTCACCTTTGACCTTTAGCCTGGTGCTGCACAACCAGTAGGCTTTGATCACTGGACCTCAGGGACCTGCTGGGGGTGTAGGGACTAAGAAGATCACCAATGTAAGATGGTGCTTGTCCATGTAAGGCCCTATAGACCAGAACCAGGATCTAGAAATGAACCCTGAAGTTGACTGGCAGCCAGTGAAGCTGGAGGAGAAGCGGGGTGATGTGGGTGTGTTTGGAGGACTTGGTCAGAAGCCGAGCACAGGCGTTCTGAACCACCTGCAGACGGTTCAGGGAGGTTCTGCTCAGACACGTGAAAAGAGAGTTACAGTAGTCTAAGCGTGAGGAGATGAAGGTGTGGAGAACTGTCTCAAGTTCAGAGCGGGACAGAATGGGACTCAGCTTAGCAACGTTCCTGAGATGGAAGAAGGAAGAGAACTGACTGTTGCTCATGATGATTCGTGGTATTTTTTCACACATGTGGTTAAAAATGATCTGAAACAGAAACGGTGATCTGAAGAGGAGCTGAGTTTTATTGTCACTTGAAATATTACGGAGATTAAATTGGGATTTAAAGGGTTTGAGCTTCAAAAATGTTGTTGAGGTTCTGAAGATTCTTGTGAATTTTATTGCATTTCAGGTTCGTTGGGAATAACCTGAAAGTCAGCTTTTATTTTGAAAGGATCTTGTAATCATATCATCCAGTTGCTGTTTTTTTCTTTATATGTTAGTGAGTTTTCTCTAAATAGTTAATTTATAGTGGTTTCAAAAAGTTTGTGAAAACCTTAAAGTCGTTTACATTTCTGCTTCAATATGACCTGAAACTTCAGGTTTTCATACAAGTCCTCAAAGAGAATCCAGTTAAAGAAGTGGGACGTAAAATATGTCACTTGTTCATTTATTTATTGTTGATCCAATATTACGTTTTGTCAGTGGCTAAGGTATTATTTCAATACCTGGTGCCACTCTGTTTTATAAGTGCAGCTAAACATTTCCTGTTGATCGGTCCTGCATCAAAGGAACAGCTTCAACTCTGGGGTTTTGGTGGGTCTGCTCACATGATCGTCTCATTTCAGGTTTTTCCAAAGCATCTCAGGACTTTGACTTGGCCATTCAAAGATGCTTTTCTTCCTTTTCTATACTTTGGTAAAAAGACTAATGTGTTCAGGATTGTTGTCTCGCTGCCTGACCCGTTTTGACCCGAGATGCTTCGTGATAGATGGCTAGATATCTTCTGTTAGTATTTTCTGGTATAATGTAACATTAGTTGTTTTAATGAAGGCAGACCTTCCTGGCCCAGATGCAGAGAAACAGGCCCAAACCATGATATTACCTCAGCCGTGTTTAAGGTCTTCTGAGCATGTTCCACCCAGAGGAGATCCAGAGGAAGACCCAGGGCATGCTGGGGGTGCTGTGTTTCTCAGCTGGCCAGGGAACACCTTGGGATTACCCGGAGGAACCGACCCAAGTGGCAGGGGAGAGGGAAATCTCGGCCTCCCTGCTTAAGCTGCGGCGCCTGGGTTCCGACCCTGGATGGATGGAATAAGACATATTTGACATGTCCTCCATAGCAGATGGTGGACACCATGTAGTGTAAAATATTAACAACCTTTAATAAATATTAGGCACGACTACAAACAATTAATAAAATTCCAGTTACATGACTAAATGAAATTTGGCAACGTTCCTGATTCTCTCGGCTTTCTTCTCCTCTACCTCTTGTTCCGTGCAGGTCCACCTGTTGAAGGACCAGCTGAGCGCCGAGGCCACGGCTCGGCTGGAGGCCCAGGCTCGGGTCCATCAGCTGCTGCTGCAGAACAAAGACCTGCTGCAGCACATCTCGCTGCTGGTTAAACAGATCCAGGAGCTGGAAACCAAGATGGCCGGACCAAATTCCAGTAAGTTCAAAGGCTCTGTGTGACAGAGATGTGTTGCCCTGCGTGAGGTAAATGGTGGCCACACCAGATACTGATAAAGCAAAACTGTACTTATGTCAGGGTGTCCATTTATTGTGGGCAGTTAAGGCATACCTGTACATTATTCATGTCCCTTTGATATGCCACACCTGTGAGGTGGGATGGATTTTCTTGTGACGTTTACACATTAGCGTCACACAAGATTATGAGGACACACACAGCAAATTAATAAAATAATGTGGTTCAGAGTCTCCAAAAGCAACACAGCTCATGCCCACCTTTGTTTACCTTACAACGGAGGACACTGCGGATGTTCCCGCGCGTCTTTAACTCCGCCCACAGGCTCGAGGATTTCCGCATTCCTGAGACATCCCCCAGATTTTTATGTGAACACCACACCGCCCGTTCGAGGCCAAACTCACGCCATCCAGCTCGACCAAACCCCGACCGTGCCGACGCTAATGTGCAAGCGCCATTGGTAAAGGGGAAGTGCTCACCAACACATGTAGACAGATTTCAGAACAACGTTTGAGAGTCTTGGGTCTATTGTGCATGTAGACAAAGTTTCAGATATTTGGGTTCAGCTCATGAAAAATGGGAGCAAAAACAAAAGCGTTGCATTTATATTTTTGTTCGGTGTAGCTAGTTTGAACAATAAACAATAATCCTGTTTCCCCCAGCAAGAGCAGCCATCTACGGCGCTCAGCCACTGTAGTCACAGGTGGGAGGGAGATCTTGGGAGAAGCAAAGAGTACATTGACTCCTACAGATTGATGACCTCGCCAGGCTGAAGTCCACCAATCCGAAGGTGGGGTTGGGGGGTTGGGTTGGGTTTTCACAGCATCTGTCTGCATCCCTTCGTGGGGGGTTTATTTGCTTGCAGCTCAAGGCTACCAAGGCTTCAGATTCAGATAACAAGAGTTTGTTTGGGTCAGGCTGAGATAATTTTCTGCCTTCAGTCTTTAAACTGATCATTTCCAGTCCTTCAGTGAAGCCAGTTTTGGGTTTTTAAGCCTGTCCATACCATCCGGTGACTCTCTCCGAGATGACATCCATTTTGCGCACTAATACCGGTATCGCAGCTAGAACGTTGTCCAGCTTACGATTCACCTTGAGTAACGTCCCAGTCTGAGAAGTCTCCACATGGACGGTGCTTTCCATGGGTGCGGGTCGCCCTCCAATCGCTCCCGTCTTCTCAAATTTCCAGAAAACCAGATATCCTCCCACTCCAATCAGGAGAAATCCAGTGATCATCAGACCGAATATCAACACGTCTTCGATGTCCTCAATGGACAGCTGGGAGAGGCATATGATCTTCCATTCCCTCCAGGAATCCAGCATATATCCCACTGGGTGTGTCCCCTGTGGACATGTGGGAGCCCCCTGCTCCGTTCTCATTGTTGAAAAAAATCATCGATCGCATTGAATGACCAGTTTATCAAATCCATGGTTAGTAAAAATAGGGTTTTTCAGAAGAAATGCAGAGAAGCTCTCTGTGGGCAGAAAGCACAAAGAGCCTTGGGAAAAAAAGATTAGAGAGCAAAAGAGAGAAGCGTCTGTACTCCTCGAGTGCCTTGAAGATCTACGTGATACAGGTGTTGTGGAAAATGATGTTCCCCTGAGACATTCTGCTTCCCTCAGGCATTCAAGAGCAAATGTTTCCAAATTCACATGACTTCTTGTCCATTAAGAGGAATAAACTACCTCAAATAAAGACAGTTAACCTGACTGAGATTATTTCCTTTTACATAACTTTCAAAAATGATTTTAAAAAAAGCTTGTTGGAACAAGAATGTCTTTACTGTACCTTTTTTTTATTGTTTGTAGGAGGACACATAGATAAAGAAATACATCACAAGCATGACATTATTACATTGCATCGTTTTCTGGAGAAACAGAATATTTCAGGGGAACACAATTTCTCACACCTGACCTCCCGGCTGCTGTCACCCCTCGTCCGTGTGTGAATCGTGACCTCTTCAACATCTAACAGAACTAGCTTGCTTCCTTCAGGACTGGTTGGTTGATCAAACAGTCATAATTAACTCATTCACTGCCAAATTTGCTTTTTATTTTTATTTATTTATTTTTTTTTACTGTGTGGGCGTCGGACGAGCCCCCACACCGTGAGAACATCCCAGCTCCAAAGCCGATCTTCATCCGCGTACGTCACATGTCACATGATCAGGAAGCAGAACATCCATGTGTTAGGAGATCCTTTTGGGCCGCTGCCGTAAAAAAAGTGAGGCGCGAACCGGAAAAGCTTCTGCCGATCATAATTCGACAACGTATTATGAAAGAATGGATAACGCTCAAAACGCACGGATTCTTCCTGATGTAAGAGCTGAGTCTCCTCTTTGTTTTGGTTGTTTTGGCGTCGACATCATCCTAGCGTGCAACGCTCTGTGACTCTCAAAAAAAAAGAGAAAATCCTGAAAAACGCTGGCAGTGATTGAGTTAAAGATGCTGTTTTAACTAGTCGAGCTTTGTGTGCTAGGCAAGGGCAATTGGAAATACATTTACACTGCTCACAAGAATTAAAGGAACACTTTTTTTATTGGGCCTGGCATGAAATCAATTAAACCTGTCTGATAATTTCCTGGTTTCCTGATTAAGCAGCTGAGGGCATTGTTAATCACTTTCAGCTGTATTGGTGTTCATGGACTTAATGACAGGTGCACTAAAGTGGCAACAATTACAAAACCCTCAAAACAGGACTGGTTTAAAACTTAAGAGGTCGTTTCAAGTTTCTCCCTCTTGATCTTTTTCGGCTGGTTTTCCACTCGTGCTGGTTTTGGCTCTCTACTGGCGGTATGAGGTGATTCCTTAACCCTACAGAAGTTGCACAGGTTGTCCAACTTCTCCAGGATGGCACATCCACACGTGCTGCAGCAAGAAGGTTTAATGTGTCTCCCAGCAAAATCTCCAGAACATGGAGATTTCAGGAGGCTGGCGGTTATTCTCGGAGAGCTGGACAGGGCCGTAGAAGGTCCACAACCCATCAGCAGGACCGATACCTGCGCCTTTGTGCAAGGCGGAACAGGCTGAGCACTGCTCGTGCCCTACAGAATGATCCCTGGTCTAGAGAGACACGCCAGCAGGTTTTTCTTCTGTTTCCTCATTTAGTTTTATTTATAACGACCGTAAATCATAAAAGTCAGATTTGATTTTCATGTTTTCTCTGATTGAATTAAACTTATCAAGCAAGTTTGGGACTTTCTCGTAAAATCTGCAGAGTTTTGTAATCTTAGCAAACATCCTGAGCTCTGCCGTACAAGCAGGAGGAAGGAGGACTCAAACTTCATAGGAAGCTTCGGACCGTATTCTCAGACTCCTCTCACTTCCCGTTGCTGCCCCCCCCCCCCCCCCCCACACACACACACACACACGGCCGCTCAGACACACGATTCTCTGCGTCGCCACGTCCCAACCTGCCCTCCAAATGTCACCCTGCAGGAATCTTTAATCTTATCAGTAAATGTTTCAAAAATGCGTAGAGGAGTAAGCCTTTTTCCTGTGGCCCACCCACCCAGCTGTTAAATATGCAGCTCCGACCTTCAGCAGAATATTTTAACTTTTCAAACACAAGCAAACATCAGTAAAAAGTTTTTCTTCCCGTATTTTACTCATCTGAAAACGGATTTGCTGAAAAACTTCACAATGACATATTTTTTAGGAGTTTTCCTTTTATACAAAAAAGAATAAAATTGTTTGTATCGACCCTAACCCACAAACCATCAGACACGGAGACGGAGATCAAACTCAAATGTTTAGGAAAAACTGACAAATTGTTTGATTTTTAATCAGACAAAAGAATTAATAAACTATTTAAATGGGCATTATGGAAGTGTGACAGCCAAAACATGTATAAAAATAATAAATGTTTTCTTCATACATTCTCCTGCAATGCCCTGGTCCTGTAGAATGAGCCCTGGCATTTTTACTGTGATTGCCTGTTTTTCTGTAAAATCTCAGAAAAAGAGAGATGCTCGGGTCTAGCAGGCTGCTTCATGCGCGTTCACGCTCAGGCATCGCCCGTAGCATTTGCTATCCGTAGCTTTAGCAGCAGAGACAGAGGCAGTGCCACTTTGTCGCTGTTCCTAACGCCTAGTGACAAAGCTAGCTACATTTCTGAGGACCCTTAGCTACTTTCTGTAGAACTTTCTTCTAGATATTTCCTGCAAATTAGCAACAAAATAGCCATTTTCACTCCGAACCGTTCTTTGGTTTGACGTTGTTTCAGCTGTCATCAAGGATATAAATATTACAGATACTGTAAATGTTACTAGAGTGTAGCTCACCTTGTAAGATGTCTGACTCTCATGCAGAAGACCTGGGTTCAATTCTGGATGTGAACATAGTTTATTTAGAGTTTATTTTTTACATTAATGGTATATTTTTTACAGTAAGATGCCCAAATGTTTATTTGAGACTCGCCGAACGGCATTGAATTCACAGATAAAAAAGATGTGGGTTCCACTTTTTATTTGGAACAATTTTTTAGCAAGGGAAGGGAATGATCTGAGCATGCAGGAGGACTGACCCATCATAAACCTTTGTCGGCTGTGCTGAAGAGAAAGGTACAGAACCAAATTATTTAATTAATTAGCTGCACGTTCTCCTGTCCTCTGGGCCACACACACACACACACACACACACACACACACACACACACACACACACAAGGGACTGTCTCAGCTGTTATTTTCGTTAAGTGTGCACATACAGCATGCGCGCCTCATGCACGAGCCTACTACTGAAGCTGCCATTACGCTTTTGGCCTGAGGGGGCAATCGCGAGCATAAAAATTCAAAACTCCGTAAAGTCCCGTTAATGAGCTTCAGACACTTTAAAGTGCATGTGTGTTTGAGACTTTTATTGTGAAGGGTTAAAGGAAGTTTCACTGTGGACTCTCCTATGGAAGTAGCCAAAAGCTAACAAACTTTCTGTGAAATACGACTAATTTGGAGGGAAGAAAGAATGTGAGGAGCTTCATCTCCATTTGCCTGAACACAGTTTACCGGCAGAACTCTCCTCCGGTAGTGATCGAACCTCCCCGCATGGACAGTAAGACCCTAACGAGCTACGCAGTAAACTAGCTCGCATTAACGAAGCGCTAAATGCAGGCTCATCCGTTTTCAGATGCGCCTGTTTCAGGAACTAGCAGAATGCCACATCATATGATCCGGAGTCTTGATTTCCTGATACTTGGACATCTTATATTTTAGAGACTTACTTGTCCGTGAAAAGTTCATCAACTCTGCATCAGCCGAGGTGTTCCTCAAATTTGAAGCATGTAAGCGGTAGTCCAACGCTATTGGATAGTTATGGTCGGCGCTCAGTTTCCCATTGCACAGAGCTCTGCGGGGCAAAAAAATAAAGACATATTTCTTTTTATATCACAGTTCATGATGAGATAATCACTTCTACGGATTTCTGAAAAATCGTACATCATTTCTGAAGGGGGAAAACTCCGTAAAAATTCCTTTAAGTGTGTTGGATACACATTTTTAATAAAAATTAATAATAATAAAGGAGCAATGCAACACATCACCACAGGCTAAAGTCTCCCAGAGTCACCACAAAGGACCAATTATACGCGCCACCCCAAAATTTTCTTTGGCCCCGTCTGGCCACCCAAATCAAAAATTTCTGGAGGCGCCCCTGCTGTCCTCTGATTGGCTATCAGCAACACGACTCTACCACTGACTCTGATTGCTCTGCAACGTTGGTGTTTTATCTCCACTAATAACACAAGCCTGGAGGAGTTCTGCTGTGTGGTGGAGATGCTAATGCTAACGGTTAGCTTCTAGCTGAGACGCTCTCTGCTGTTTCACGGACGCTAAACCAACAACAGCCTTCCCCGTCGTGAGTCAAGATGGGTGAGTCCATGAATGTTAAATGACAGTGTGACGTAGATCTGTCAGGATTTTCTAATGCTAGAGTTTCACCGCAGGAGACAGGTGTAGGAGACTATTTTCATGTTCAGCCTGCATGAAAAACTCAGAGTGACCGGTTAGAATCAGAAATAATCATTAAAAGTGTTTTTTCGGTAAACCACCCCTTTAACAAACTCACTCTAACGTGTTTAAAAATGTAAAATGATCTTTTAAACGTGTTGGTTTGGCTCATGGGCACCTGAACAGGTAAAATGCTGCAGCTCTTTTGAAAGTCTAGATTTCAGAACAGATTTATGTTTCATGTTTGTTTTGGGTTTTAAGACCGACATTGTTCCACTGAGGTGTCGTTTAGCTGCAGGTCTGTAAACAACAACTCAGACATGTTTCACTGATGATTACGAGGATGACGACGATGATGAAACGCTCTGAAACATTATTTTTTCTTGCTTTAGACGAGACTCGGTTGATTTATTTAGTTGGGATTTATAATCCTCTGCTCTCCACAGTTCAGATATCTGCATCACACAGATTATTCTTCTGGCAGCTCGGCTGACGGCAGACGAATTTAAACTAGCCCACAGTGGAACTCATGACTGAAATAACTGATGTGCTATTCGTGTCTCAGATCGTCCTTCTTGCTTATTCATCACTTGATTTCCATCTTTTTTATTAGTCTTTTAACCTTGTCTCTTGTCTTTGCAGTGGGCTCCCAGGACAGTTTGTTGGAGATCACTTTCCGGTCCACGGTGCCCCCGGTGATCTGCGACCCGACCACGCCCAAACCCATGATGTCAGACATCGAACTGCCTCCGTTTGGCAACGGGACCAGCAACGCCTTTTCTTCCTCCAACGGGACTCTGGGAAGCCCACTAG